AAACGGGGCGGTCGTATCGTATTGCAGGACATCACCAAACCGGCCAAACAGGACGGGTGGACACCGTTGGAGGCCATCGAAGCCTCCCTACAGTTGGAGCGCACCGTCAATCAGGCGCTTCTGGACCTCCAGGGCATCGGCAACCGGACTAACGATCCGGAGTTCACGGACTTCATTGAGAGTGAGTTCCTTCACGAACAGGTGGACGACATCAAGAAACTCGGCGATCACGTGACTAACTTGAAACGGGTGGGCCCAGGTCTCGGGGAGTACCTCATTGACAAAAAGACCCTGAACTAAAATGTATACGCATAGCTCGTATGCGGTATTCACTCGTTTTATACAAATAACAATTAATAGAGTATTGAGTGAATATGTAATCAAATAGTTTGTTATGGTTTCCATTTATTGTAACAAATAATTGAATTATGAAAGAAAACACAATTATATTTTAATTTTTGTATTTTAAACATTAAAATCAATATATAAATAGCATATGTTATATTTTACGTTGATTTTCAAGTATTACAATGAAAACGAGTGTTATAACTTATAACTACAAAAAAATACCTTTAAAAAGTTTAATTTGTGAACATTATAGGATTGTCAAAACTGACTAACACTTGTGTGAAACCTTTATTAATAATAAATGATTACACTCATTGAAATAGTTTGCCACCAAAATGTCTACGTTTGTGATTATTCATATATTTTAATGCCAAACTCAACTAGGTTTGTTGAAGGTGAATGGCTTGTCAATTGAATGAGAATATTGAATATGTAAATTTAGGTTTTGTTTGCTAGCATAGCATTTATCACAACCAGTAAAATGACAAACAAATGGATTTTCGCCAGTATGTATGCGTTTGTGTGCAATTAGGTTTGTGCGAAACATTTTCCACAATTTTCTTCATTACATTTCAATCTCTTTTCATTCATATGAACAGCACTTTTGTGTTGAAGTAAATGGCGTTTTGTTGTAAACTGTTTGCGACATTCACTTCAATCGCATACATATCTCACGTTTAAATGAATATTATTTTCATGTTTTCTTAAATGATCTTTAGTTACAAAAGATTTATTACAATTATTAAAATCACATTTAAATTGCTTTATATTTAAATGTATTAACTTATGTCTATTGAAATGATTTCTTCTTGGTGTTTTGAACTGACATTTATGCCAAAAACAATGGAAATATTGATAAGCGTTTAGTGTATTAATGGTGTTGTGATTGGAAAGCATTTTATCACTTATT